CATCCCTGTCCCATTCCCATTCCTACTGCACACCCATCCTCATCCCTGTTGTATCCCCATCCTGCCCCCATCCTGTCCCCACCCCATCTCCATCCCCATTCCCAGGCTATGCTGCCTCCAAGGGAAGCCAAACATTTCCAGGAAATCCAGCATGAGATTCCCAGGCAGCTTCCAGCCCTGTCCCTGCCCCCTGCTCCCAACCCCAGCACTGATCCCAACCCCAGCACTGATCCCAGCTCTGGCACTGATCCCAACCCCAGCACTGATTCTGATCCCAGCACTGCTCCCATGTTTCTCCAACAAGGAGCATCTCCCAGCACCGTGCTGGGAGTGGGAATGAGGAGTTGGAGCGGCCCTTCCTCCTTCTTCTCCTCCTCCTCCGTGGACAGGACTGGGAGCTGCTGAAGGTTTATGCACCACACTGGAATTTTTTCCCTCAAAATCATAAGGAAAGAGCTGAGGAAGCACCGGAATCCTTAAACCACACGAGCTGAGAGCAGCGTTCTCTGGCTGCCGGCTCCTCCATGCTGGGATCCCACTTCGGATCCTCCCCCGGCCCTGGCGCTTCCCAAACCCACCCAAGGGAAGATTCTGGAAAAGGCAAAGCTCAAAAGGATGGGCTGAACGCGCTCATCCCCCTGGGAATGCTGTGGGGAGAGGGGAAGGGGATGTTTGGCGCCCGGAAAAGTTCTCCAGCACTTTAAAAATAGCAGCTAATCCCGACCCCGCGGCTGCGCTGCGCTTCCCGGGAAGCCGTGACGGATTAATGAGGGATGCGGCTGGAAGTGCTGCAGCCACCGCGCTCCCCTGGGCTTCCCACAGAATTCCAGCACAGTCCTGCTGAGCCGGAGCTGGGGGATGGAAGGGGCAGCTCTGGGGGGGCTGCTCCGACCCTGGAACCATCCTCGGAGGGATGGAGGGATGGGGGCAGGAATTCCACAGCATCCCAGGGCATCCCATGGACATTGCAGAGCGTCCCTGGGTGTCCCACGGCACCCTGCACATCCTGGGGTGTCCTGCAGCATCCCAGGGTATCCCACAGTATCCCTGGGATCTCCTGCAGCACCCTGGGGCATCCCACAGCATTCCCAGGTATCCCACAGCATTCCCAAGTATCCCACAACAGCCTGCAGGATCCTGCCCTGGGATGCTGGGAGGGGCTGGGCCTCCCTGGCCATCAGTGGGAATACAGAAAATAAATCTCCCTAGGGAAGCTCTCTTGGAGCAGGGACCTTTCCAGCCCCAATTCCTGGGATTTAAACAGCTTCTCCCAGCTTGCTGTGCCTGGAAGAGCGCAGGGATACGGGATGGCTCCGGGCGAGGACTGGCTGTGCCGGGGTGGAATGCCAGGGATCGATCTCCCAGGGGATTTATGGATTTTGGGAGCAATGGGGGTGAGCAGGAGGGAGGGCACACCCAGAACTGCGGGAGTGGGGCCGCGGACACAGCGCTGGACCAGCCCCATGGAGGGAACGCCCACATGGAAAAACTCGGGATTCCCATCCCCACCTCACAGTTCCACAGCTCCAGTGCCCCCTTGGGGAATTTCGGGACACCCCGGAGCCAGGTGGCCCCGCACCCCAACATTCCCCCTCATCCCTCGGGAATTCTGCCGCTCCCAGCCCCCGCCCCGGGAAGGCGTCAGGCTCCAGAGTTTTGCCAGGAGAGAGGAATTTGGGATTAAAGCAGCTCCTCTATTTGCACATATTTATAGTGCTCCGACGGATCTATTTTAGCTGGAAAGCCGGGATGAGCTCCCTCGGGAGCATCCCTGGAGTCACATTTTAAGGGACTTGGCTCCTCTTTATGGTGCTCATTTGCATTTGATATCCATAAAAAAGGCAGGCGTTGATAAAAGGCGGATATTTATCCTATTCCTGGCTTGGCAGAGGAGGGTTGGGAATGGCACCGGGGAGAGAACCAATCAAAACCAGGGAAAACAAAGCCGGAAGGTCCTGCTGGGATCGTGGCCGCTGGATGCTGTCACTGCCGCTGGGGTTTTAGGGGATGGAATTATCTGGGGGATTAATCCCTGCTGGAACAGAGCAGGGGGGAGCAGGGATCTCCATGGAGCAGGATCATGGAGATCCAAAGAGGAGAACCATGGAACAGGGACCCCTGTGGAGCAGGGAATCTCATGGAATAACGACCCCCCAAGGAGCAGGGACTGCGGCACCGGAGAGGTGCCAGCCCCCCATCCCATTCCCTATGGATCCCGTGGGCACTGGGACTCCAGAGAGGTGCCAGCCCCCCATCCCAACCCCTACAGATCCCAGGGGCACCGTGGTGGGCACTGGGATTCCAGAGTGGAGCCAACCTCTGGAATCCAGAAAGATTTCAGTCGATCCCAGTTCCTCCTCCCAAGCACGTGGGAGGTTCATCACTCCTGACAATTCCCATGTCTCCGTGGCTGGGAAGGGGGAGCTGCGTTTTCCCAGCATTTCCCACTGGCTTTGACAATGGATAAAATCAGACTCCAGGATATTTATAGGCAAGAGCACACGGAGAAGGACAGGTTTAGGACACGCTCCACATGGCAGGAGTCAGCTTGGGATAGGGCTGGGAACGCTCACGCTCCAGTCGGATCCGGGGATGGAATGTCCTCATTGCTCCCAGCGTTTGGGCCCTGGAGGGGGACGTTGGGACTGGGGGTCCCTGGCTGGGCTGGCCACGTCTGGGGTGGTCTGGGATCTGCTGACATCCGGAGCACAGGCTGGATGCAATGGGAAAAGGCTCCGGGATGGGAGGGGCTGGGGGGAGAGGGGAATCCCGTGGCACCATCCCGGGTCACCCCAAATTACTTTCTGACTGGGAGCATCATTCCTGGCCATCCCAGGTCACTGGTTGGACTGGGAGCATCCCTGGGAGCAGGCACGGAGCCTCCCCCTTCCCAAACCCCCTCCCAGTTATCCGAGGGGAACAGGGACAGGACACAGTCCCCAGGTCTGGGGACGAAGGGCTGGGCAAAGACTCCCCATTCCATCCCTGCTCCCCCGGGATCAGCATTCCCTCAGTGGGAGTGGCCGCTCCGCCTTTCCCAGTGTTTGATCCCCGGATCCGATCCCTTTAAGCACCGACTGAATTTTTCATAACCGAGTTGTGAACGATCCCTGCTCAGGGTCATCCGGCAAACCCGGTTATTGCCATGGAAACGGGAGCCAGGGATGAGCCGCCCCCCACCCCCCAGCCAGGGATCTGGAGGATCAAGGAGCTCACGGAGCTCACACCGGCAACGGGAACCCCCATCCCGGTCACCCTCCGCCTGCTGGGGAGGCAGCACGTGGAAATGCCTGGGATGTGGGATGCTTATCCTCCTCCCCATTCTCATTCCATCCTCATTCTCAATCCTCATCCCCATCCTCATCCCCCTTCTCATTCTGATCCTCATCTTCATCCTCACCCTAAACCTCATCCTTGTCCTCGTCCTCATTCTCATCCCATCTTCATCCCATCCTTGTCCTCATCCCCATCCTTATCCCAATCCCTATCACCAGCCTCATCCTCCTCATGTTCTTCCTCATCTGCATCCCCATTCCCATCCCGGAGTTTCCCACCTTCTCCCAGATCTGGGGTTTCCCACCTGCTCCCTGGTTTGGGGTTCCCCACCTGCTCCTGAGTTTTTTGGGAGAACACCCTTCCCAGCTCCGAGCTCGACTCCCCCTGTCCCAGTGCAGCCCGTGGGCAGCTCCGGCGCTATAACCGGGGTGTCCCGCGGATCCCGGCGCTCCCGGCAGTGCCGGTGTTCCCGGTGTTCCCGGTGTTCCCGGGGCCCACCTGCGAGCAGGAATGTGATGAGACAGGTCTCCTTGGGCAGGAAGAGCTTGAGGCGGGAGCCGCTGAACACGTACTCCACCACGGCCTCGGAGCGGCCGGCGCGCTGCAGGAACGGCAGGAA